GGGGGGGGGGGGGAAGAGATAATTTGCCAAAGATGTATTATGTAGTTGAGTGACACGTGGCAGATACAGGTTAGGCATGCATAATAATCTTATTTAGACCTAAAAATTTATTTTAATCCATAGATGAACAAGTGATACAATATCATGGATAAAATAAATTTTAGTATTGAAAGTATGCATGTAGTGTGTATATTTGGTCTTCAGTCTCTCAATTGTATTTTTTAAGATTTTTAATTTGTATTTATATAGTTCAATCCTAAACGTTTGTAAAAAAAAAAATTGACGCCTCTGCTCACCTGCCCAATCATGTGGGATCAAATAGACACAAATTAAAACTTTTAGAGATCAAATAAATACAAATTAAAAATTTTAAGGAACAAATAGATACAAATTAAAAACATTAAAGATCAAATAAACACAAAATTCAAAATCGTGTGATTAACGCGTGATCAAAACAATCACGAATTTTTAACGGATGTTTGAGATTAAATTACGTAGATACAAATTAGAAATTTTAGAAACTAAATAGACACAATTAGAAGATTGAGAACCAAATTAACACTAAACACATATTTTATTTGGTCTCTAAGGTTTTTAATTTGTATTTATAATCTACTAATTAAAATTTACCATAATGTTATTAAATCATTTAATGTCCACATCACCAATACAATTTTCAAGTAAAATTTTAAATTTCTATATCGTTGGTCTTTCTGTAGGTACCGAGAGGGAAGATTAGATAGTTTGATTCTAATGGAAGACAATGGCGTGGCAATGCAATTACCCAATTCCTTGATGGAAGCCACCAAGAAGCTTAAAAGTACCAACAACATAGCATACTTAAAGGGCCAAATGACTTGCCTGCTATAAGTTTAGTTTATAAAACACCCTTAAGACAATTACACGTTTTTAAATACGCATAAATTGATTCAAATATTTTAAATTATAAAAAAAATAAAATAAAATAAAATTATACACTCTCAAATTTGCTTAAAGTTACATATTAACAAGGATGATTTTATTATCACCGTNTTCAATTGTATTTATTTGATTTTTAAGATTTTTAATTTGTATTTATATAGTTCAATCCTAAACGTTTGTAAAAAAANCTCAATTGTATTTTTTAAGATTTTTAATTTGTATTTATATAGTTCAATCCTAAACGTTTGTAAAAAAAAAAATTGACGCCTCTGCTCACCTGCCCAATCATGTGGGATCAAATAGACACAAATTAAAACTTTTAGAGATCAAATAAATACAAATTAAAAATTTTAAGGAACAAATAGATACAAATTAAAAACATTAAAGATCAAATAAACACAAAATTCAAAATCGTGTGATTAACGCGTGATCAAAACAATCACGAATTTTTAACGGATGTTTGAGATTAAATTACGTAGATACAAATTAGAAATTTTAGGAACTAAATAGACACAATTAGAAGATTGAGAACCAAATTAACACTAAACACATATTTTATTTGGTCTCTAAGGTTTTTAATTTGTATTTATAATCTACTAATTAAAATTTACCATAATGTTATTAAATCATTTAATGTCCACATCACCAATACAATTTTCAAGTAAAATTTTAAATTTCTATATCGTTGGTCTTTCTGTAGGTACCGAGAGGGAAGATTAGATAGTTTGATTCTAATGGAAGACAATGGCGTGGCAATGCAATTACCCAATTCCTTGATGGAAGCCACCAAGAAGCTTAAAAGTACCAACAACATAGCATACTTAAAGGGCCAAATGACTTGCCTGCTATAAGTTTAGTTTATAAAACACCCTTAAGACAATTACACGTTTTTAAATACGCATAAATTGATTCAAATATTTTAAATTATAAAAAAAATAAAATAAAATAAAATTATACACTCTCAAATTTGCTTAAAGTTACATATTAACAAGGATGATTTTATTATCACCGTATAAATTGAGATACAACAATGTTGGTACGACAATCATTTCACGAATAAGTTGATTTCTCGCTACTATATACAATGGGAGCAAATGTACAACACTAATTCTTCTGACTTGTCTTGACAAAAAACATATCAATAGGCAGATGTTTACCACCCGTAGGAGATGACTTGTGCTTCTTTTTACAGCGGCTATGGCTCACAATGTGATCTTTCCGGATAAACCTGACATAATTTGATTATATCAGATTCCAAAGACTTCTCATTCATATGATGTAGCGATCATTGCTGAATTTGAGAATCACCTTTATGTANAGGGCCAAATGACTTGCCTGCTCAAACTTAAAACAATTACACGTTTTGAAGTACGCATAAATTGATTCAAATATTTTAAATTATAAAAAAAATAAAATAAAATAAAATNATCAATTAGACTAGAAAATCCCACTATTCTCTTGTATTATAAATCACCCTCCTCATGTATACGATAAAGTACACCATAGTAATATATAATTAATATTCGTTTTCTATTCTCTTCTTTCANGTCAATTAGACTAGAAAATCTCACTACTCTTTTGTATTATAAATCACCCTTCTCATGTATATGATAAAGTACACCATAGTAATATATAATTAATATTCGTTTTCTATTCTCTTCTTTCANTCGAGAGAGAGAGAGAGAGAGAGAGAGTGTATGTGTTGGGGGGGCTGGAGAACTTGACACTTCCACTTTAACGCTCCCAAAAGGCTTACAAACTTCAAGCTGATTCTTCGAAAATGAAAAATTACCTCTGAAATAAATCAAATGCTCATTGACTAGATTAAAACGTGAGTTTGCCTAATCCAGGATGCAAATTGCCATAATATTACACTCAGGATTTTGAATTGTGAAACAGAGATGGATTTGTCCNCGGCTATGGCTCACAATGTGATCTTTCCGGATAAACCTGACATAATTTGATTATATCAGATTCCACAAACTTCTCATTCATATGATGTAGCGATCATTGCTGAATTTGAGAATCACCTTTATGTANGTTTAGCTCGTTTAAAAAATGAGTCGAGCTTAAGTAACTCGACTATTTGACGTATAAACGAGCCAAGCACAAGTCAAACTTTTTTAGACTTTTTTTTTAAACGAGTCTAAAATAATTATATACGAACCGAACCCGAATCAAATCTTATTAAAACATAGCCCTAGACTCAACTTTTAAGAGGGTAAATAGGATGACAGAAGGATTAAAATAAAAAAAAAAAAAGATAGCAGAGAGGACAAGAAGAACCTTGGAATGGTAAAGATTAGCGTCATTGATGGCGAGTANATTTAGCTCGTTTAAAAAATGAGTCGAGCTTAAGTAACTCGACTATTCGACGTATAAACGAACCAAGTTCGAGCGAAAATTTTTTAGACTTTTTTTTCAAATGAGTCTAAAATAATTATATACGAACCGAACCCGAATCAAATCTTATTAGGATGACAGAAGGATTAAAATAAAAAAAAAAAGATAACAGAGAGGACAAGAAGAACCTTGGAATGGTAAAGATTAGCGTCATTGATGGCGAGTAACTCAGCTGTCCTACAACCACAATCATATCCATGTCGTATAGCCANCTTCCACTTTAACGCTCCCAAAAGGCTTACAAACTTCAAGCTGATTCATCGAAAATGAAAAATTACCTCTGAAATAAATCAAATGCTCATTGACTAGGTTAAAACGTGAGTTTGCCTAATCCAGGATGCGAATTGCCATAATATTACACTCAGGATTTTGAATTGTGAAACAGAGATGGATTTGTCCCCCTACCTGGAGAATGGTGTACCCTTGGGGTAAGACTTAAAGAGTAAGACAAGGAACCCAACCCTAAATCAGAAAGACATAACAATTCAGTAGAGGAAAATGATAAACCCAGCACCATTTCCCTGGTCTTTCAATCAGTGTGAACCTCCTCACTAATCCTACCCGCAGTGAGAATGCAAATTTTCCCTGTAGTTCTGAAAAATTATTATAAGATGTATTCTCCAGATGCGCATCACTTTATTTGCCTTATGTTTCAGATGTCGTAAATGCAAGTCATTTGACTATGACATTTACAATTTCCTGGAATTTGTTTGTTGAAAGAAAACGGCAAGGAATTTGATCCTGATGAAACTTATATAGCCAATCAAAACACTATTTCATCATGCAAATGGCAGGAATAAATGTGTTACCTCTGCTTCAGCATGAGATCAACTGATTCCTCCTGCTGCAGCCTTTCAGCTAGATGAAAATCAGAATGTTCTTGTCTTTCCTCAAGAAAACTGAGAGGCAGTTCAACCCCACAAAGCGAACACTTGTAATCATTCACCCAAAAGAAGGGCTCTTTCCGATTTGCTGAAGACCCTGCTTCATTGCATGACATGTTTGCACTCTCCTTCAGTCTATCTAGGCTGCTTCCCTCAAATTGTTCAGATAAAGAAAAAGAATCCGTCTCCACCAAATGTGAAGCTCCAGTATCACAAGGCTTCAGTTTATTCCCCATCATGTTGGCGTCCTCAACCTGAGTGAGGAGAAATATGTATGAATAGGTGTAATCTTTAGCATCAAAACTGGAAGAAACTATGCTGCATATGAATAAGGCACGTGAAAGTGATGAACTACAAATCAATATTTCAGCTTCATACGCACCTCGTCATTAGATTCATTGCACAGAGGTCTGTGACATGGCTCAATTCCTGCAGTATCATAGCTTAACATGCAGTCACCGTCATTAAGACCTGATGTTTGATTGCAGTAAACCGGAACAGCATAATCAGAAGATGTCATCTGGTTCTCATTAGGAAGATCAGTCTCTGTATCTATCAAGAAAAGGCTGTCACTGGCATCTGAACCCAAGGGCAGGTTGTCACCCATGTTTTTTCCACAAGCATCTCCTGATATAAGATAGTTGGAGATAGTTTTTTGCGTAGGATCAGACTGAGCACCATTCTTGTCTTCATTAAACTGAGACATTCGCAGTCCTGACAGAAGAAAACAGAGAAAATGCTTAACCCTGCATGCTTATGTTAGGGCAGTGTGTATTGACCCAATCTTTAAACAAACAATTAACAATTTACAAAAAATTACACGAAATCCCTCTGACCTATGGGTGTTATTCACTTAATTCCCCTGAAATTAAATAATAAAAAAGTCAACCCCTCGGTTTAAGTGACTGACATTCAACCCCCTAAAAATAGGTTTCCATCAAAAAATAATGGAAAGGTATCAAATGACTGTCCCATAAAGATATAACGTGGCGCCATACCTATCAGTCTCAAAGATACAGGAACTTCAGCCTTCAGCAGCTTTGAAGCATGCTTCAAGATATCTTCACTTGAACAAATATATTTTTGCAAAGTGACAGCCCGAGTTCGAATCTGGAGATTGCAGATTTGTCAGTAAACATTAGCACACAGTCCAGCAACTGTCAAAGATATTACTTTAAAAAACGAAAAAAATAAAAGGATAAAAGAAAAAACAAGATGTCCATGATCCAGAAATCATCAAGAAGCATCTCTCGGATTGAGTACACATAGAAAACAGCAGCCTGAGGTTCTCCAAAAAGTATTGAAAGTACCTCAAAAGATGCAGTTTTCAGTTTTNATCCATGATCCAGAAATCATCAAGAAGCATCTCTCGGATTGAGTACACATAGAAAACAGCCGCCTGAGGTTCTCCAAAAAGTATTGAAAGTACCTCAAAAGATGCAGTTTTCAGTTTTAATGTCAATGTTCGCCCATAAAGACCTTCTTTTTTCATGTCAGCAGAAAGCATCTCTGCAAGATCCACTGCAAACAAAAACTTGAAATGGTTCACATTTGGAAGGGATAGTCAAATAACTTGACTATTGAAAGTAACATATTAGCCTAATTTCCAGGCTTAGGGGGCCACCATCATCTAAAGTCCAAGAGCATGTCTGGACATTGGACCTTCTTCAAACAGGCCTTTGAACTTTAACAAGTAGTGTGACACCCTAAAATCCGGGTGTCTGTAAGTACCCGATTGATCATCCATTTTGCATTGCATGTTAAATGTATTAAATGTTACATGCTATGTGTTATGAGATTATATGCATGATTAAATGTGTATAGGAATGAGACACTACGGTTAGAAAACATAACCTTAGAGTCGGGAAACGAAAGGAAAGGATGTGTAAGCCTAATGTTTAGACATCTGCCGATAGGTATATATTCTACTGTTTAATTTTTGATCCATAACTTTGGGATACTAAGTTATTGGTCTATTGCTATCTTGTGTGTGTGTAGATGACAACTAGAGGAAGGGGACGTTGGGGGTGGACGGAACAACCAACCACCACCACCGGCTTTTGATCAACAAGCCTTTATGGAGGCTATGAGTACGATGACTACTATCTTTTTGCAAGCTAGTGCGAATGTGGTCCAAGGAGGCTAAAACAATCTTCAGAAGTTTAGGTCCCATAACCCACCGACTTTTGTAGGAGGAGGGGATTCGATGGTAGCTGACAACTGGTTCCAACAGGTGGACATTGTAAATGGTACCAAAGGCAATTACACGTTGAATTACATTATGCATGAATTGCATTACATTCATGGTCATTCACATGGGTGGGAGTGTGTGCAAGGTATGAAATCAATCACCACATAGGTGGTTGATTGTGGGCTTAGAAAAGTCGCACCAAGGTCCGGCTGAGTCACACGGAAATTAAATGGATAAACGTGTCGGGGATAACAAAAAGGCTAGATTCTCCCTCGGGTGCAAGATCCGCTTACTTGGTTTATACACTTTCCGGCGGTGAAATTCCAGAAAAGTGTAACGACCAAAACGGAGCCGCAGGTGGAATGTCCTGAGAATCCGTTGATGGTTAGTGTCCCATTGGTGTAATACCATAAATCATCTCCCCACAAAGACACAAAAAAATAAATTACTTAGTCATTGAGTTTACATAACACTAATGACGGGGCTTAAAATGTCTGAATACATACGCATGACATTGCATGTGTTGTAGGATTTCAAGATGGGGCTCGGTGTTGGTATTACTTGCGTGAGTCTCATCTTATTGCATGACATGATTTATGATATTTGTTCATAATAGACATATTTGAATGACTGCATGAAATGATTGTTGCATGTGACATTTCATATGCATTTAGGTTGAGAGGTATTTTCTATAGGAGTTACCCTATTGAGCGTTGACTCACCCTTTATAGGAACATTTTTCAAGTATTGCACAGGCGTCCATTGAAGGCGAGGCCATGGGCCAGCTTTGACGACAGAGCTGGTTTGTGGCTCTTCTTTTGACATCGTAGTCCCTTGTTTATATTTACTTTTGGCCTTAAATAATTTTTTGTAACAAAAACTTGTTTATGTTTAAAAGACATGTATAAGGGACTCTTTTGAGACATTTATTTTTTTATGAATGAATGTACGTAATGATGATAATTATAGTAGTATCTGATACTATACTAAAGAGTAGGGATGAATGGACCCGGTGTGGTCAATGTTATACGATTGCACAGGTTGCGTTTTGGGTAGAGCTCCCCGTACAAAGGAGACTCTGCCCAAATTTTGTTAAATTATGAATCTCGGTAAATGAGGCATAACGGCGTGGTATCGAATTACACGGTATCCGTGGGTATTCCGCAGGTTGATGGGTGATCGAATTTTGGAGTGTCACAAGTAGTCTATGGGATAGAACGGAGAGACTGCGTTTGGGGAGCTCTTTGCTAACCGAGGGCATCACTTCCGATTTTGTTGTATCACTTCCCTGATCTGGCTCAAAACTAGCTAGGCATCTTCCTCAATTTTAACATGCATCTCATTCCACTTAAAAGGAGTGCATTATCCATAAATGAGATGAGAACAATTACCCAATTTCTGATGGAAAAATGCCTCATCCGCAGTAGCTGAAAATGTTCTCTCATTGCTAATACTTTTCCGCAACTTAGCTTGAGGGGTGTTTGTCCCCCCAAGTCCCAAACCCACAGAAAGGAAAAAACCTACAATAAAAGAGACAAGATGATCAAGATAATAAGTCTAAAAATTATACCATGAATGCGAAAGAGGTTACTTTGTACCCAAACCACTCCTCCCAACACCCTAAATTGACAGGACTAACACTATGTAATAGCTTTAATTTACATCATCACCTTTTAGACCAATACCAAAGTTTCTTGGCAGTCATCATTAGCACAAAGGACCTCAAAAATTACAAATTGCATAGCAATCATTGAAAAACAGAAAAAAAATATAAGTAGCAAATGTGAAATCCAAACCGGGGAGGGGGGGGTTCAATTGTACAGAAAGCATAGGACAAAAAAGTAATTTATGTAAGTTCTAATCTTTCTGCGATGTTATAACATTCCTACATGCACATTGCAAGCGATGATCAGAGAAAGAGACAGAGGTATGCAATAATTTTGGGCAAACCTGCAGAGGAAGGAGAAAACAGTGCAAAGAGGACACTACTCTTTAGCAGCATCTCCTCACAAGTCGAGATTCCAAAAACATCCTTCAAAACATGTTCAGTAACCTTACCAATGCCCCCTATCTGTAAATGGAGTGTTTCAAAAACTTAAGAAAAANTGCAGCATCTCCTCACAAGTCGAGATTCCAAAAACATCCTTCAAAACATGTTCGGTAACCTTACCAATGCCCCCTATCTGTAAATGGAGTGTTTCAAAAACTTAAGAAAAACAGTTGTCTCAAAACTAATACTTCAAATCTGCTACATTGAATCACCGGATGCTAGAAAGTACCTTCCGTATAGGAAGAGATGATACAAATGTCATCACAGCCATCCGATCATTTGGTAAAACAAACTGGCCATTTGGCTTGTTAATATCAGAGCATATCTGATAAAAGGAAAGACATGGAAGACATATATCAAAAAGCACAAAAAGAATAAAGGGAGAAGAAAGTAAAAATATCTATTTCTACTCATATTTGTAAGGAGAAATGGACAGCTTATTAATGTACTTTATCCAAAGACAGATCTTCTGCTAATTATAGGCATCCACATCTTCTCTAAGATTTCACTTTTACATTTAATTTGATGCTGTCCGTATCATAGGCAAATCCAGGGAAGCACCTCATTGTTGCTGTCAAAGTGTTGCTGAAAACAATACCTTGCCATGTCACCTGTTTCTTCGCCTAATGGGTTACTTCTGAATTTTTCCGCAATATTCCACTTATATCTGGTCTTTACACCCTTGCCACTCAACCACTGTAACAAATATGGTTTCCCAATTGTCAAGCATATTGCCCAATACTTCATTTGGGCAATCATATTGTTTCACTCTGTTTGATTTACATTACCAACTTGCCCATCCCCACTAATTTATCACTATCATCAACAGATGGGAAATCCTCCCAAAGTTTTGTCTAGAAAGATTTTGGTATAGATGTTCCCAACAGTTGTCACTCCAAGACATGCACAGAATACTATAAAAACTAAATAGGATTTGACAACCAGATAATGATTTTTTCAGGAAAAAAAAAATTCCAACATGATGGCATGAAATGGATATCCATTCCATAGGCCATAAGTGACTAAGTGTGTTAAGTGGAATCCATGTAGGTTGCATGGGTGTTGTCCATGAAGTACATGATGCATAAACTATCTGACATCACAGATCCAATTATTCCATTCAGCATAAGCCTACAACACCTTAGCAAGTAAGCGGTTAGGTGCCACTCCGGCACTACAAGTGAGACTGGTCTCTTCATAAACACTGGTTCTGAGTTCTTCAGCGACCTTCACAAAAGCAAAACACAAAAGAGAAGAAGTAATTTAAAATGGCATCATAATAAAATTTAAGACCATAAAGATGATATTAAAATGTCACCCAAGGAACATTGCCCCCCTCCCACAAAAAAAAAAAAAAAGGAAAGAAAGAAAGAACAAAACAGAAAAAAAAATAAAAAATGCTGATCTCCAGGGCAATTTGTGTATTGCATTTTCTAACTTACTTCTCCACCTGTTATGGCCCTTTCTTTGCAGATTTTTGTTATATCAAGGTATGCCTCATCCAAACTAGTTGCCATGAAGCCGGAATCATAGTTCTGAAAAACTAATTTAAAAAAGCACATCCAAATGAAATTCATCAGCACAATTCGACAACCAGTGCATCCAATGGTGGCCACAAGCAAGAAACCTAACCTTTTCTAGTTAAATCACTGTAGTGAATATACTTCTTAAAGTCTACAGGGACCAAAATCAACCCTGGACATAACCTACGTGCAATGAAACCAGGCATTGCAGCACGAACCCCGAATCTCCGTGCCTGTAAAGCAGGATAGTGGATCAAAAGTTTAAAGAAGTAAATCTTTTAAAAAAATTGCAAATTCAATCTTGTATCAACATGCCCTCAAAAAAATAGTTACCCTAGGATTCACAGTCCCCTTGAGAAATTAAAGGAAGCAATTCAAACCTCATAATTAGCAGTGGAGATCATAGACATGCCGCCAACAGCCATTGGCTTGCCTTTTAAAGAAGGGTTGCTCAATGTTTCAACAGCTGCATAGAAAGCATCCATATCTACATGTAGCCAAATCCTTGACAGATCACGTGTAGCTTCTAGCTCTAAAATCCTTTTATCAGCAATCTGAATATCACATGAAAACAATAAAATTAACAATTGCATAACTTCACGGAAGCTAGTTTACATACCCCAAAAAAAAAAAAGGGAAGCAGTGTAAATAGTTAAAATAAAAAGCATGCATAATATAAAAAAGTACCATTTGGTTGGCTATCTCCCACATAATCTTTACAGGAACTGAATTATATCTTTATCGATANATAAAAAAGTACCAATTGGTTGGCTATCTCCCACATAATCTTTACAGGAACTGAATTATATCTTTATCGATACAATTGGATTGGGTGCACCACCATTGCTGAGTTTGGGCAGGGTTAGAAGTACACAAGAGAGGCTATTTCCAGCTCCCAATGGAACAACCTTACCATTGCACCCAGGCCCGTACAATTGGATTAATTTTAATAAATCTAACTATGAAAAATTATATCTTAATCAATGATGTGATACAGTACAATACGATTACGGCACTGATTCAAACCCAATTATATACATCTTTTTTAAGTCAAATCCTTACATACCTTCTGATAATGAGATATGTCCGCAGCAGTGAGTTTAGCGTATCGAGCACGCATGTTTTCGATTTTCTGCTTCATATCGGCCTCCTTCTTTTCCTCATTCTGAAAATACTTTGATCCTTTGCTCATCTCATAAACAATTCTTTGAACTTTTTCCTTATCAACACCATCCATTCCTACAGTATAAATTTCCATCCCAACATCACAGTCATTATTTTCATTAATATATAAAATTACTTGTGAATTGGCATAAATCAATTAGATGTGAGAGAGAGAGAGAGAGAGTAAAGTGAGTGTAATTGAGCAATTGCGATATAGTCAACCTAGAGACAGAGAGTCCGTGGAAACGATGTCGTACCTGCTTTGGCGTTAGTGTATACAGTGTGATAGGACTGCCATGGCCGAAAGGAATCGTCCTCTGAGGTCTCACTCTTCTTCATCTCTCTCTCTCTTTCTCTCTCAGCCTTCGCCAATTGATTAATTTTTTCACTCTCTTTTCATCTTCTCGAGCAACCAAAGCAAAAGCCAGAGAGATGCAGCAAGAAAAAAAAAGAAAAAAAAAAAAAAGAAGAAGAAGAAAGAAAACGTTCACCTTTTGGGCCAAAATTTCTACCTTTAACTTCGGCCCAATTAGTCCCACGGTCCAGCCCATAACTAAGCCTTGATATTTTATTTTAATTCAGTTAGTAGTATACTATCTATCACTAATTCATATAAAGCCCCACAATTTATATGGGAGTTCTCCAATTTTATGGTGAATGATTTACTCTTGAGTGAAATGGAAAAAAAAAAGTATTACAGAAATTGCACTCTAGTTTGAGAGTATAATTAGAACTGGTTTGTTTGAAAAAGTGAGCGATCTCATAAAAAATGCGTACAATAATTACTTGACATAAATCAGTTTAAATTCTATACAAACTCGATTACGCTCGATGTATACACTATAAGAATACAATACGATATAAACGTAATTATATAAAATTATAAATGAATCAATTATTGGATCACAAATTTTTATATATAACACACCTTGAAATTAACATCTAACGGGTTTATGCAAATAGGTTGAAAATATCCCAAATAGTAGTTTTGTTTTCAGTCTTAAATAATAAGAAAAGAAATCGATACAAAAAATAGAAATCTGAAATTATTAAATATCAAAACTATTTTAGCACAAAGCAACAAAACTATTTTAGCATGTTTTTGAGACAGACAAACTACGACACAACTCTTTAAAAGGAGAAGTGTCTTACCCGTCATAANGACACAACTCCTTAAAAGGAGAAGTGTCTTACCCGTCATAAATACACGCACACACACCCTAAGGCTATTTTATTACGTTGGTAAAATGTTATCTCTAATTGAATTCTTTTTAGTACATTTTTTCGTCAATTTCTCTCAACGGAAATTCTATGTATTCCAAATTTGTAATTCAAATTTGTATCTTACATGAAGGGGGACCATTGGATCAGTGGGTCCCGTCAACTTTTTAAAATGGGACTCACTAATCCAATGGTCCTTATTCATTTGAGATATAAATTTGAGTTACAGATTTGGGTTACATAGCATTACTCTTCTCTCAATGACTAATCACCTATTATAAATTAAAGTGAGATCCACTATATATAAATGAACTGCCTACAATATACATTGAATTAAAAAGTGTATTAAAAATAATTTGAATTCATAATCTCCGAAATAAATGTTGTGTTTTTAAATGCTTCCTCAGAAAGGTAAATAAGGTGGACAGAAGCAATGAAGTTTCCTTCCAAGTTCTTGAATTCTATAGGGAGAGTCTCTTAATGGTCATAAGATTTTTCTTCTTATACCCATTACTACATTAAAGAGTTCATAAATGCATTGCATTAGAGCTTGCAATTTAAGCCATTACAAAAACATGAGAACAAGCACATTTTCTAGAGTAGATAGCCATGCATCTATAATGTAAGCTTAAGCTCTTCTCCCCCTCCCAAAAAAGCAAGGTTCATCCGCAAGAAAAACTCATGTTTCACCTTTTATGAGAGTTAAATCCTTTTAAAGCAATTGTTGTTCATAGGTGGATCCGATATCATGGAGATTGTGCCAAATAGGCAGCCACAGGAATTAGGAATTAGCTTGTTGACTCTCCGAACAAGGTCAGTAATAGTTTTAGTTTAACAAGAAGTTCGTTTTAGATCTCATTTCTAAAAAAAATTCAAAAATTTACTATGTTTGAGTTTATAACCCTTGCTATAAATGGATGGAAGCTCATTAGATTACACATTTTCATCTTAGTAAAAGAAGATTATGTGGAAAAATTTATCAAGAGCGTGAAATATAGATTGCCGTAGGTGAAAAATTTGTCTGACGTTTCAGTTCTTTTTTTTTTTTTTGAAAAAACAAGCATCTACCATGAATTTAGATAGGATCTATCAACGGATTTTTAACGACTAATAAAGGTGAGTAATTGATTCACAAAAAATATAGAATTAGAGAGACCAAACGTATTTAATAAATAGTCAAATACTCTTTTGGCGATCAACACAATTATACATATGTCAAATTGGCTTGCCCCTTGGATCTAGATCTAACCTAGTAGTAATTCAATCAATTCTCCACAGGTTCAAATGGGACTCGTTTTATTTAAATAAATTCTTCACCGATATATAATGAATGATCTAGCAATAAACCTGAGGAATTGAATAAAATTAGTGTCCAAAGACATCCCATTTCTTAAAATTGGCTACAATCTCATGTCATGAATTGGTAGTTATTATTTCTTACCTTGTACTAGACATCTCTCATACATCATGTGAGTCTTCCCCAACGCTTATGTATACATCTTCATAGAGTCGTGGACTTGCATAGCCATCTCTCCCATCCTTCCATGCCAACAGTCTCTCCTGGTACAATACAATCTAAGATTCTCTCTCTCTCTCTCTCTCTCTCTCTCTCTCTCTCTTCACATTCATGCATGCATATAGATGCTGATTTAGATGATTTTTTTTGGTGTTTTGAAGCACTGGACAGATAAACATGGAGGGTGGACAGAGAGACAATGTGTTTCTACTGCTGTTGTTTTCTCTTCTTTCCTCAGGTTTGTCTTCTCTATACTTTTCTGTTCTGGATCAGGTAGAGAGTTTTTGGCCACAGTTTACAGATAGAGATCTCCTCTCTTTTTCTCTCTCTTCTGGGCTTTTTTTTTTTTTGGTTTCTTTCGGAGGATAAAAACAAATTTGCTGAACTAAGATTAAATTTCTAGCTAAAAAGGGTCATCTTAAACTTTTGGCTTGGTTGCGATAGTGGCCACAAAAGCATTGGCAGATCCCAATGCACATCGTTTGAGAATCATTGTATGTATATCGAGTTTATGTTATAGCAACAAATTCAAAGAACGTGTACCTAAAACGAATCTCGATTATCAAAAAAATGATCATATCTTGGATTCGTGGTATGAACGAGATATCCCTTCAAGACCTCCTAATGCAGTATACATGGCACAAAGAAAAACTTGTAATTAGTCAATTTAAAATTTTTCTTCGACTTCTTGTAATAGTAGAAAATTTATTATGAATTTAAGTGAAACGCGTTTTATAAAAAAAAACTCATGAACAGCAATCTAGTACTATTACAAAAAATTGAGAGAAAGTTTAATAAAGAAGATCTGGATCTATGTTTTGCAGGATTTTCAGTTCACGGGCTATCCTACGATTACAATTTCAATGCTGAGGCAAGCTTTATTTAGAACCATTATTTTCTAGCAAATTGTACATGAACTGAACTCTTCAAACTAATATAAATCATGTTCATCCACTTTTTCAGTGCTTGAAAAACCCTCCTAAACCACAGTATGATGGAGGAATAGTTGTAAACCCGGAATTAAATTCTGGCAGGGAGGGGTGGACTCCATTTGGAAGTACAAAAATTGAGACCATATCAAAGAAAGGCAACAAGTACATTGCTGCATTTCATAGGCAACAACCATTTGATAGTTTCTCACAGCAGTTTTATTTACAGAAGGAAATGCTCTACACCTTTTCTGGTATCCATTTTCATTAATCAAAAACAGTGTTAATTACCATGTAAAAGTATGAGCTAAGTTTGGCTTCTTTTTTTTGGGTAACTTTTTTTTCGCGTCGTATTTGTTGCAGCATGGTTACAAGTGAGCCGTGGACAGGCTGAAATTGCTGCAATGTTCAAAGCACCTCCATATTTCATAAGTGCCGGTTCTGTTACTGCTCAATCTGGTTGCTGGTCCATGCTTAAGGGTGGCCTCTATGTAAATTCTTCAGGCCCGGCTGAGCTGTATTTTGAGGTATATAATTTCACTTTCATGGTTTGATTTTGATAGTGTGATTTTCCCAAATTTGATTTTAAAGGGCGTGACTCGTCGTTGCGGGGTCTGAAGAGAATTAGATGTACGCAGACTTACATTGCAAGTAGACAGACTATTTCTGCGATTCAAACTCACGACCAAATTTGATTTTATTCTAAAAAAAGCCAGTTCAGAAGATTCAAGATTTTAACTGTTTGTTTCTCTTTCAGAGCCACAATACAACAGTTGGCATACTAGCAGACAGCATTTCATTACAGCCATTCACCCAAGAAGAGTGGAAATCTCATCAAGATCTAAGCATTGAGAAGGTAACTTTTTTTGGACACCTTCCTTTCTTAAAAAGGAACAAACAGAAATAGAATTAGACTAATTCCAGAAATTCCTTTCTAGATATTCCTCAATGTTCCGCTTATTCATTGAATTGTGAGAAGCAGAGAATTAAGCATTTGCTTCTAAAGAAAACTGAATAATTTCTCGAGAATCCTACAAGATCCATTCATTCTTTCTGTATCATTATCGTTGTGATTATTGAGTATTGAGTTGCAGGCCCGAAAGAGCAAGGTGAAAATCCAGGCTATTGATGGTCAAGGCAAGCCTTTAGCAAATGTAACTGTTAACATCACACAGAAGAAGCCAGATTTCCCATTTGGTTGTGCAATGAACGAAAGAATCCTAACCAACACAGACTTTCAAAATTGGTTCACCCCAAGGTTCAAGTTAACAACATTTGAGAATGAAATGAAGTGGTACTTCACTGAGAATTCCCCTGGCAGAGAAAACTACACCATCCCCGATGCCATGCTGCAATTTGCCAAAGAACATAACATCTCAGTCCGTGGCCATACAGTGTTTTGGGATGATCCTCGATACAATAACGATTGGGTTAAATCGCTACCACCAAACGAACTATCGTTGGTTGCTGACAGAAGGATGAACTCTATCATGAATCGATACTCTGGTCATGTTGTTCATTGGGATGTTGTTAATGAAAATCTTCATTTTTCGTTCTTGGAAAGCAAGCTTGGAGAAAATGCATCTGCTGTTTATTACCTCAAGGCTCAACAGCTTGATGGAAAGGCGACGTTGTTCTTGAATGAGTACAATACCATTGAAGAAATGGGCGATGAAGCATCAACGCCAACTAAGTATCTGGAGAAGATTAGAGAGATTCAATCAAAGGGGTATCAGGGTAGTTTGGGAATCGGGCTCGAGGGTCATTTTAGGACTCCAAATCTTCCATACATTAGAGCTGCAATTGATCAGCTTGCAATTGCAGGATCTCCCATTTGGCTCACAGAATTGGATGTTGAAAGCAGCCCCAACCAGGCAAGTTTTTTAATGTCTAATGTTACAAGATTCAATTTGAATTTGTCATTTATTTTAGGATGATCACAACTTTTGCCACCAAACTGAAATCAATGTTCTATTACATGAAAGCTCAAAGCTTAAAAGAGGCCAGGTCATTACCTATCATAGGCTATTAGTTACTCCCCCTCCTGTGTTAACGTGGGATGTAACAAATGAAACTATAGCACCTCCTCACCTCGCAAACCTTTTTGGCCGGCTACTACACTTCACCACCCTTAGAGGCCACACGTCCTCGCGAGGCTCACGTAGGGTTCAGCCCCCACCTTCTGTAGGAGAGTTGGCTCTAATACCACCTATAATGATCCGTTCTAACTGTCAAGATATTGTTTATTTTGAGTGTCCATATACCCTGACGGTTTTGTTTCTCTGTGGCAAATCAAATCCTAATGAGGTTCCCACCTGCGTTGGAGTTCCAATTTCCATCCGACCTGAGAGATCAAACGAACTTGTCTTCAACTACAGAAGTTCATACAAGGCAATCTCTTGCATTTGACATTGTCTTGCCATTATGCGGTTCAGAGGAAGGTTCCATTGTCTAGGAGTTCCATTTTTCATCCGACCTATTTCCATTAGAACAGTGACCTTGTACCTAGAGCTGATCGGGCTTTTCAAAGCCACTGACAATGCCACAGTTTTGTGCTTTGTTAAACAATTTCTGGACTAGTAACTCCTAACTCGTAAGGTTTTTCCATGGCAAACTGATATCCTATTGTTTGTATATTCTGCAAGCAGGCAATGTACTTAGAGCAGATTATAAGGGAGGCACATGCACACCCAGCAGTGAACGGAATTGTGCTCTGGGCGTCATGGAAACCGATAGGATGCTACGAAATGTGCCTGACAGACAACAATTTCAAGAACTTGCCCACCGGCGACGTGGTCGACAAGATCATCTGGGAATGGACTCACAAGGGCTTGTCAGGCATTACAGATGTTGATGGGTACTTTGAGAGTTCACTTTTTCATGGAGATTATGAAGTCACAGTCACTCACAGGGATGTTTTGGGTGGTTCATCCTTGGCTCAAAGCTTCAAGGTGACTCCAACTGAGAACTCTCATAAACCACTACATGTCAAGGTCTCAGCATGACTGTTTGTTTATCAACGAGTTTTGTTCTTGATTTCAATGGAATTTTGAAGTAATAAATTCCACGAAACAAGATTATATATATATATATATTAGTCATAACTCGAACGTCTTAAAAATTGATTTTACTATATTAAATTTTTTAAAATATGTTAATTACAAATTAATTAAATATTAAATGATTAAATATATAATAGAAATGAGTGATTTGATATTTTTAAAAAGAAAATATATAAATAATAAAACATGCGATAAAAATAAGTGATGTAATTTGACGTTTGAGTCTGACAAAAAAATGATGGGTAAGGTAAGTGATTGTTGATGATTTTGAGAGGAAAAATATAACTGAAATAAAATTCAAATACACTCTTGTTTTATTTTATATATATATATATATATTTTTGTCTAAAATGTTGATCAATAATTCCAAGTCCAAATAGACTAAACTTCTTTTCCTCTAACTATTTGGAATTGTTTGAAAATCTCAACTTTTTTTTTTTTGGAGGAAAAGAAGTTTAGTCTATTTGGACTTGGAATTATTGATCAACATTTTAGACAAAAATATCGTTTATCACCATCGAGAAAAAGTTGAAAAATTGGGGGCTTGTTTGGTTTGTGTTTCAAAAAATAGTATTCGAAAACAGTTTTTTAGAATAATTTTAAGAAAATGATTTTGATATTTTTTGAGATAAAAAATTTGTTTAGTTAAATGATTTCAAAAATAATTTTACAATACAGAAAATAGTAAAACCTGTTTGGACAGCTTAAATATATATATATAAACAGTAATTCAAACATTAACAAAAAAATATAAAAAATTTATTTTTATATTGACAATTTCATAATATATATATATATTGGTATATATATTTATACGTATATATTTATATATATACTCATATCTGAATATCCAAAATCGTTCTCCTTGTTTCCAAAATTTTCAAAGAAAACTCTGAAAACAAGCTAAATTTGTTTTTTGTTTCTTTGATTCAAATATCATTTTTTTTTCAAAATTTAGAGAACAAAAATGTTAAACAAACAGATTTTTAGTGCTTTTGAAATTTTGAAAACAAAAAACTGTTTTGCAAAAGTTAACCAAACACGTCCTAGATTATCCAAGGGATTCCNCTAAATAAACAGGTTTTTAGTGCTTTTGAAATTTTGAAAACAAAAAACTGTTTTGCAGAAGCTAACCAAACACGTCCTAGATTATCCAAGGGATTCCAAGAAAAAAAGTTAATTTTTTCGAAAATACTTCAAGCAGTTTCAAGAGTTTTTTTAACTAACTTTTTAATTTTACTTTTCAAACATTATTTCACACCCCAAAAAAAAAACTCCAAATAGGCCCATTGTATAAAAGAAAAGGTTTGAGGAATTTATTTTCATAGCTAGACAAGCAATTTGTATGTTGCCATTGGACCCACGTAAAAAAAATAGGGCATTTGATATAGCTCTTATTGGAACATTGTCAATGTCAATCTAGCAAGGGGATGATAAAAGGTCACCAATGGATAGAAATGAAAATTACAAGTTTTGAGCCTTCAGGTAAGTTTTGAGTAATTGCTAAAAACTTGCAATGTATATTATACATTTGAGTAATATTTACTCTAATGAATTGTATTGTTATCTTGAGTAAAATATAGAAATAGCGGTTATAGTATGCACTTTGACACACTTAAGTTTTCAATATTTTAATTGTGTCCAAGCAATGATCACTCCATTTTATCAACTCTACTCAAATTCGATCATTTGGAAGAGAGCTTTTTTGCTTCCTTTCGTGTTATCTGACCAATTTCGTTGCTCAAATATTTAATTCATTTTACTTTGATCCAATAAAAAACAACGATTTAAGTTGACTAATGAAGGTGTTCATGTACGTCTCACGTGGCTAGACTTGGGTGATCATTTTGGTCCCCGAAGTTTATAATGTATGCCATTTTGATTCTTCACATTTATAATTTGTATTCTTTTAACCCCTTTCATTTCTAAAAATTATTCCTCAGAATTTAATAACCAAAAATATGGGTCATGTTTGATTTAGTTTTCGAAAACTGTTTTTTGTTCTCAAAATTTTGAAAACACCCAAAACATGGTTGTTTAGCTTTTTTGTTCTCCAATTTTTTGAAAATTTTGGAAATTGANGATTTGGCCCGATGGTAAACGCATAGTCATCCAAGCTATATGTCAGACACTCCTAAATCAGAGTCATAAAGATAGCGTCTCAGTGAAAATTTTGTGTATTGGGTACGACCTTTTTTGCTTAAGGACTTAAAACAAAGTTTGCGCGCAGTACCTTTCATCGTCTTCTTATTGATATGAAACAGGATACAGCAGCCATGATCACATTCATCGCCAAAGAAGTTACATCATCTAAAACTCTTGAAAATCGCATTTCTTGCAAGTCCCAAAATGTTGAAATGCAAAGCCACACCCCATCTACGATCACCAGCAAGTTAGACATTCCCTCTAACACCAAAGCCAGAGAGAGAGGGAGAGAGGGGGGTTATATATACATATAAGAAGAGAATGAATTAATGTATGTCAGAGCAAGAACAAGAACAAGAGTGGGAGTGGGAGTGGGAGTTGAAGTGTGAAACAAAATAATATGTTGCTTCGAGGATGCTTCCTTGATGCATAGTGGGTCCCCAGTTCATGTACACAAACTGTTTGTGTCGTTAAATTTGTTTTACCCATGTGGATGTGGGGGTGGAACTTGGCTTGGCCAATTCGATTTCGACCCGAGCCTAATTTTAAGACTTGGACAAGAGTTTTTAATATTTGAGTTGGGCTGAGTCAAAAAATTTCAACTCGAATTTAATTTGGGTGGGTCTCGGGTTGACCCCTCGGGTTCACAGGTTGAACCCGAATATTAAAATCGGGCTCAACCCGATACAATTTTATAATTTGTACTAGGGTTAATCTGATTTTCTTACCCTTATGGACTATGTTTTGCTTATATTTGTATTCTGTTAAATTGGTTCTGTGTAAGGCAATAGGGTTATGTTTTGTAATAGCAGCAGTGTTGTTATTTCTGTTAAACTAGCAGCATTGTTATTTCTGTTAAACTGGTAGCAGTACTATGTTTTGCACTGGTATCAGTGTTTTGTAACTTTGTGTTTTGTATGGTTGTGGTTGTATTGAATTCATAATATTTTGATTTTTATGTTAAAAATTTTATTGAACTTGTTGGTTGTTAAATTATTTGAATATTATGTAATATATGTATCAGATTTAGAACATTAACCTGAAATCAGTTCGTAAAGTAACCCAAAATCGGTCCGAAATCATTAACCCACATTCAACCCGAGCTCGTCCGATTTAAACTCGGACAGTGTTTGGGTTGAGTTTACCAATCCAAGGTAGGGTTAGGATTAGGGTTGAATATTATATACTCAGAATTGGATTCAAGTTGACTGTCCAACCCGCCCAAATTACACCCATACATGAATGTTTAGACCATGTGGTCCAAACATAATGTAATTTCCGGATAGAGATTAAGGTCCAAGGGAAGACGCGTTTTGTAGGCCAAACCCTATTCAAGTTGGGTCGTGGCTCAGATTTTATTTGTTGATCAAATGCATTCATATCAGAATTTAAAAACGCCTTAACAAGTCAAAATCGGGACGAAGCCGAAACTATCTCATCATTTAACAACCCTACTTTGATGTGTTTCTTACGTATGGAAGAGGGTGTTCAATGCCTTTTGATCTAAGAAATGAGCTGGTTTGTCAACGCCTAAGACTAGGTATAAGCATGCATAAACAACCTTAAAAGCCTCCACTTGCCATGTCAACTCTGTCTTTTAAAAAAAAAAAAAAATTAATATTAGTTATTTATTTGATTGGTTTTATAAATTGCATAAAATTATATATCCGTAGACCTCTAGGTACACCCACCCCAGGAGAATTCCTCAACATTTACGTTGTAGTCTATTT